GGAAGGAGGGAGGGATGGAGGAGAGGAGGGAGGGAGGGATGGAGGAGAGGAGGGAGGGAGGGAGGAAGAAAGGAGGGAGGATGGAGGGGGGAGTAGGGGGGCTGGCAGGGGATGGCCCTTGAATGCAAATCAGCGAGCGCTGCAGGGCTCCTCGGGGATGGCGGCGGCCCCGCCGGAGCCCCCCCTCGCAGGCAGGGCCGGCCGCAGGTCCCAAGGACACCCCGCCGGCTCCCGGCCCGGGGGGGGGCTGAGCCCCCTCACCCCCCTGTCCTCGACTCCTGCTGGGCTCTGGCACAGGGCAGGGGTGCCCTCGGGGGGCAGGGGGTGACATCTCCCCTCCCGCGGGCATCCTTTGCGCGTCCTACAGCGGGATGAGGAGATGATCTTCGCTCGCCAGAGAGGCGGCTCTCCCCGGGTTTGGCCGGGTTGAAAGACCTGTGTCCCCTTGTCCCCCCGGCCAGGAGGCAGAAATGGCCCTGGGCTGCTCCCCTACGTCTCCCTCCAGCCGGAGCAGCTCACAGCCTTTCTGTCCCTGCTCGCCCTGTGGACACAACCTGCTGAGCACAGGCTCGGTGTGAGTGTGATTGGCAGGAGCTCTGGCTCAGGGTACGCCGGACTGATGTAACCCAGATTAGGACGTCACTTGGTTATTAATAATAATTATTATTATTGGCAAGAGAGCTATTTTCTTGCAAAGCCCCGTCCTGGAGCTGTGGAGTCGGTGAAGATGCCTGTCACCCGGGTGGGGGGCTGGCAGGTGCCTTCCTGGCTGCCTCTTTCCAACCTCAGTTGTAATTACCAAAAGGCACCCTTTCCCCCTGACAGCCCCGTGAACCTAAGAGGGAGAAAAGCTACGGATAACTTCTTTTGACAAATTAGAAAAGGAGACTCGAACAATTATCGTACCTTTCCGAAAGTATCATTACAGCATCACGTTTCCACTGGAGGCGACCATTCCCCCCTCTGCAGTCGTTGCAACGCAGTCATTTAACGCTTCATTCAACCTGCAGCATGAACCAGCCCCTTCCCTTTCTAATAGAAGTGGCAACGGTTGAGAGAAAGAGGGAGTTTTCTACCAAAGCTTGCTCTGCCTGTCCAGAAAGAAATATTCCGGTCTTTAATAGTCTCTTCTGTCTCGAGCAATGTATATGGTAAGGGCAAAAGCAATAAATAGCGCAAGGGCAAGGGAAACTCTCTTGTAATTATTATAGATGGGAGCAGCTTCCTGGCTGTCTATGTTTTGTTAAAGCTGGGGAGTAGTTTAGAGGTTCTGGATCTGAGTGTTGAAAGGTTTTAGATACAGCCAGTGCCTGGGCTCCGGCTGCATTTCAGCCTAAAAGCTCCAGCAAAGCCTGCTCCTGCTGTGGACTCCCAACCAGCTCACCACACGCCAGCAGCAGGGAGGGGGGAACACCTCGAGCTGCCGTTTTTGGGGGCAGGTGAAGATGTGGGAACCCAAGTGAGGGAGGTGGAGCAGAGAGGCACGAGCGGGGCTGCTGTGCTGATTAATCCGTGACGTAAAACCCACGTACACTTGCTTGGGAGAGCTGCCAGACGGGTGCTCCGGGGAGAGATGCTCATGTGTCCCCTCCAAGGTGCGGGGCAATGCCCAGAGAGAGCTTCCCATGGGACACCCTGCCTTTGGCAGCCTTGTCCCTGTAACGTGGAAACCCTGGAGTTAAAAGGAAAGGCCAGAGCGCTGGGCTGTGGAAAATACAGTGCTGTAACTCTTCTGCACGTAGAGAGTGGTCCAGGGCAGAAACATTCAGAGCTGCAAAGGCTGCAAGAGGCAGACGTCTGATAACGCCCTCAGTCTGCCCGGGCTGGGTTCAAAGCTGAGCCTCCTGGAGCAAGGGCTGAAAATGCCTTCACTGGTGTGGTGACCCCTCTTGTGTCCCCCTGAGATTTCCATTTGTCTGGTGTGTTCAGATAAATATACTTCACATTGAGATTTCCCTCCCCCTCCTTTCTTGGATTCATATATTATAAATTGTACAAACTGAGACATTTTAGTGTTTTTGGAAACGTAGATAGAGGAAAATCAGAATAGAGAATCTTCTCTGCATAGCTGTGAAGCAGGTTATGAGGCTTAACTTTTCTTTTTCCCTCTCTGTTACTTAGTTAATTTATCAAACAGACG